TGCGATAGGGTTATCCAGTTGTTACCAATACTGAGGTGTTGGAACGCTCAGCAGGGATAACAACTACTATTATGATATTTTAGGTCGTCTCCTCTCACTGTCTCCCTAGCCTCTTTATGTTCAACACCGAGGCCTAATTACGGTATTTTCAAGGGTTGGTTTGGTCTTATTTTGCTTAACGTCCTATTAACAGCTAAGGACATTTAAGGACGCGCCTGCATGTGTGTTGTGTATGCCTGCATGTGTGTATGCGTGCCGAAGGCAGGGCAAGTTGGTGTATTTGTCTCCTTGTGATAGCATTATTCGCCTCTTACGAAAAATGCAGTTGGTAACAACAGATATACTCTTTTTGCGATCCCCGAGCTGTAGAAGTAGTATTGCCAAGGGAGGCGGAAGGAAACTAAAAAGATATTAGAAAACAGAAGAAACATTTAAATATTCCAAATGTTGCAGTTGCAGTACGTTTTATGGTCTCTTCTAGGGAAATATTCTATTTCTTTACTGGGATGTGAGGGTAGATGTTGTTGTTTGTGCTCATAAGCGTGTCATATGTCGCTGTTGCCATCCTGGTTCGCGACATTTCTTGATTTGACCTACATTCACTAAGAGGATGTTGTCGTTGAAATATAAGACATTATCTGTCCGAAACATATTTGTTTGCTAAAATTGGGATTAAGGTTAATATAAGGCAGTTGCCAGGTGGGATACCATCAAAAGGAAATACTAAGGAAATTAGAAACCAAAATAAATCGGAGCACCTCGTCTGATTCTCCCAATACATTTTCAATAGTCGTCCTTTAAATCTTTACTTTCTTAATATTTTGCCCCAAGTTGATCAACTTTTATTTCGATGTATGGGTGTATTCTTTTGTCGGTTATCTCTTCACCCGTCAAAAAAACGCAGATGTTCCCTCATTAAGGATCAACTGACGTGTATGGCAAGATACATTGTTACTTGACATTCATTTTAAGTAGCAATTCAGGTCCCAGATTGGTTTCTCATGTCACAAAATGCCATTCCATGTAAGATGTCATCAAATAAACAATATATGTTTTATAATTACAATATTTCCATTGTTTTTGATACATCTTATATTATACACAAGATATATAATTTGATGAAATACAGGAACGGCATTGCTCCTTGAATAAGAGTTTAGTCGGCTTGCAATAGACATGTCGAGTTTAAAAGTAATCCGATTGAAGAATGCAACTTATCACTTAGATAAAAAAATACAATGTTTTTACTCTGTTGTAATAGAGGCTGACGGATTAAAGCATATCTATTTCCTTCGAAGATGTCAACAAAATAGAATATGGTGATATATATACAGGCATGATAGTAATTTCACGTCCCGATATATGGATGCAGGTCCTAGTAACGTTCGTAAAGAATTCAAACTCACCATCATAAATGTTCATTATCAGCGGTTTATCACGAATATATGTAATGATAAATGATATTAGTTCGACCAATAGCTTGTGCGTTTAACGATAGATGAAATGTGTAAGCTTCACTGCACAGACGAGCATGCGTATATTTTAAAATTAAACGTGAAATTGACAAACTGGATATCAACTACAGCAGTATCAAAAAAGTGACATGTTATTTGAAGACCAGGGATCGATGAGATAGCGGAGTTTAGCTATGGTTGGAATAGCGGTTTGCGCAACATAGTATGTAGATAATTAACGTGAAAGAAACGGAGATTATTAACGATGAAAAGCTGGACTGTACTGTTGGCTGTGTGTAGCGGAATCATGTCGACGACCTTATGTGCTGGTATGTACAGAATCATATAAATGAAGACTTTCTGCGTTGGTGTACATATTATTTTAAGCAAATGCTGGCCTTCGTTTCTGTTTTACGTAGTTTTACATAAATGAGTTCTTTCTTCTACGTAGATGTTTTGTAAAAGTAGCGCCTGAATGTGTTTGTATGTATATAGATCACAACAGTTTTTGTAAACGTGTATGTTTGCGCCCACCATCGTATGTTCAAATCGCCGTTCTCCTTCGTCCGTTGTCCGTTAAAATTAGCAAGTCCTTTTATTGTTATTTCTCAAGAACTACTAGACGGCTCTTTCCCAAATTTCCTATGTAAGTTCCCCATGGTAATTTTTCATGTATCATTTTGCAATTGATCAGAAGAACAAAAAGATGCCATTCTTAGATATTACAGTTCCAATTCGTTATCCCTTTTTTTCAACGAGTAGTTGAGAGATCATTTTAAAATACACATGCACATGTAGGTTTCATTTGATCCGTTTACATTTTTCGCTATTTCTCAAAAATTAGTTGATGTCTCTTTCTGAAATTTCAGACGTTGGTTTCACTTGATTTTTAGAACATATTTTATTTGAGATTGGTGCGATCAACAAGATGTCACTGTAAGTCGACCATCTTGGATTCTGACAGTTCATTGTTATCGCTACTTCTGTTGGGAACATGAGTTTTTTTCTTTCAATTTTTTATATGATTTCCTTGATGCATGTTTCATTTTTAGAATGGTTAGAAAAATTAGATGGCCTTTTTCGATATACCACATTAACTTGATTTTCTCTTAATCTCTCATTTAACCATTAAAGTTTTGAAAGGTAAAACTGATCAAAATTGCCTAAATAAAATTGCAGGCTAACTGTCATTGCCTATGATTCTTGGCTATTCAAAACAACCTGTTATAAGTTTCTTAGAAGTCGTTTGGAGGTTATAACATTTAACCCCTTTGACCTTGAAAGTGGGTCGGGATCATTTTCGTTCGCAAACTCTGTGGGGCTCTAACCAAGAAGGCTATCAGCCAAATACCATGACTCTTGGCCTTTCAACTCTTCAAAAGAAGTCGTTTAAAGGAACAAGAATTACGAGTAATTATATGTGTCGCCTGTCCCGCTTTGTCAATATAATAAGCATTTGACATAGTACTTAGGATATATTTAAAGAGAATTGAAATTGTTAAAAAGCCCTAAGTTTGAGTCCACAAATGTGAGGGTTTTCCACCCAAAATGGAGGAAATCCATGAAATGTTAGGAAAGAGTGAAGTGCATTCATCTATGATACACCTACAGTGTGTGACCCAAGTACATAAGGAAACGGACCTAAACGCAAAATCATAACATAATGAAATATCCAGAAATTTCAGGTTTTTATCCGAAAAAGTGCAGAAATCCATGAAATGTTTTTAGAGTAGAAAGCTCTACTACCAATGATACATGTATGATTGAGGTTTTGTTGGTCTAGCTCTTATACATTGTCAGAAATAGCCTAATATGCAAGAGCTTAACGCAAAACCTTAACGTTGAGGTTTTTTCTAAGTCCAGAAATTTGAGGTTTTTACCAAAAAATGCAGAAATCAATGAAATGTTTTTAGTGCAGTAGGCTCCACTACCCATGCTACATCTATGATCGAGGTTTTGTTGGTGTAGCTTTGTCAGAAACAGAGCTAAACGCAAAACCTTAACATTGTTGACGCCGCCGTCGCCGTCGGAAAAGCAACGCCTATGTGTCTTTCCGACATCCGTCGTAGGCGACACAAAAATTGATTGACATACGGACAACGGTCGCCGCGCCACGGCTTAAGCTCACTTGCTCTTTTGGCAGGTTAGCCAATAAAATTTATGTATGGAACAGCTCAAAATGAAGCTCAACACCCTACTAGCAGATGAAACAACTGTGACTATTATTATTTTTGTGTTGGTTAAGACAAGTAATAGCTGTTTCGGCTCAAGTACAAAGTATGGGTGCTTCGGCATCGTATTACACACAGTAGCACCCTAAATGCGTTAGCAGAGCAATTTAACGCCTTCAGCACACACATATACATTACAACATGAAGACACGTCCTTACAATTTCCCCGAATAGGACGATAAACTACAACAAACCCGACATAATAAGCGCTATCTCATATAATAACCATGTCAATGGAACCTAGCACAGTACTCCACCTGATCAAATTATACTGACAACGGAAAAACCAGGCGTTGCCCCTACTCTGAAAGCTGAACGGCAAGCAGGGTCAATATTACAAAAAGAATTACAGAAATGTTGCATCAATCACGAATCTACATGTGAAATTTGAGAAAGATCTCCAGATTGTTGTGAACATTTTTATCTATTAAAATTTGAGATGGACACTTATTGCCAATCTTGGTTTGCCAATCGGTACAAAAAATAAAACTAGACAACTAAGGACCTTGCGAAATCTACGTGTGAAGCTTGAACAAATGACGCTGAGCTGATGAATTTTAAACTCCCGAAATTCAAGATGGCCTCAAGTCGGCCACCTTCATTTTACGATCAGTCTCAAAATTTAACTTGTGTATGGTGGGCTAAACATGTCCAGAAGCCATATCTCGCCCAAGGAATTCGTCCTTCAAACCTCTGTTTAGGAATGTTCTCATTCTGCTTTTTTTGTCCTTCCTCAGTATTGAAGGGACTATTTGGTCGACTGACACCATTAAAATTGGTCAGATACCGAAAATGTGTGCCTCCAAAAAGTTTAAGTTGTTGACAATGACATAATCTGCAGCCAATGCCAAGTGTGGACAGTTTTATCTTCTGGGTAAACTGGTAAGAATACGATCTGTCTGTAAAAATGTGGCATCGGTCGACGAGACAGCGAGATTGATTTTACACGTAAAACTTCGTTACCCATCAATCTCCCATCAATGGTTCTAACGCGTATGCCTATGTTCCTATTGCTGCTACTATTCTCTGGCTCATTGCCAAGCTTAAATGTGTGTAGAGTCCTTCAAAATAGACCTTAAGCAGACGACATGGTACAAAACTCCCGATTCTACAGGGGATCCACATTAGTCGCCTCTTATGATAACATGAAATGGGATACAACATGCCTACTGGCAGGCGCAAAACTTTAAACAGAGACACTTACTATTAAATACCCATTCTTATTGAGGCAAGCAATTTAAATTGTTTATAATTTCAGGATTCGAGGTCCTAAATGTCTGTGAAAATCAAGAACACACAATCATGTGTGGTGGAAGGATAGGCGTGATCAGCGCGCAGTACGGACGATTTAACCGGGTCACCTGCCACCACACAGCGATGTCGATGGTTGACTGTTACAATGACGTGCTTACTGATATCATATCAAAATGTGACGGGAAATCGACATGTACATTGTCTCCTTCCAGCAGTCAATATGGCGGCGACCCCTGTCCAGCCACTTACAAATACCTGCAAGTTCAGTTCAATTGTTCGTCAGCAGGTACGTTGAATCATAATTACTAAATGGGATTTTGTGAAAGCAATGTGACGACGTCCCTGGGGTCTGACTCTAGGTGCTCTTTATTTTTATACTAATTCACAAAATATGAATCAGACACCCGAAGCATTTTCTATTTAATTATACTAAGAATTAGTGTTACCTCCATACGTGTAATGTTTATTGCATTAATGCTGGAAGCAGTATGTTGATGTATTTGTATCAATTGTCATTAAAATTTGACCAGGCGGACTGCTGTGCATGGCATTTCAGTAATATAGCACTATAAATTCGGCATTAGATCCGCACTATCACAAAAAGAGGCAAATATGGCACTATAGCCTGTCTCCGGCAAACACAACGTTTGTGGTGGAGTGAAACGACCATAAATGTAAAAACTTTGAAACAAGAAGCTGAAAGTGGCCATTTTGAGTGGATACATTTTTCATCTGTTATGCTACACAGGTGTACACGTGAACATAGACGTGAAAGTTTTTCTCAGTGATTGTAAGTTTGAGACAAGTAGGTCGATATACAATATAATTTAAAACTACAATTATGTTAATGATCATTTAACTCCTCTTATACTTTTAAGCCAAATGATTTGGTTTTATTTTGTTTAACGTCCTATCAACATCTAAGGTCATTTAAGGACGTGCCACCATGTGTGTTGTGCAAGTGTGTATGTATGCTGGAGACGGGGTAAATTGGTGTACTTGCCTCCTTGTAATAGCGCGGATCTGATGCCGACTTTATGGTGCTAGCTCATTGAAACACCATGCAAAATGAATTATTTGCTTGTATATATATATGAAGCCAAATAAGCGGATATAGTGTGTAAATTTATGTGAACATGACAACATATTATCATATTTTATACTTGAAATATTTTATGTTTGTGTACTTCGTACACCTGACAGGTTGTAGAATGATATATGTACATGTAAATACCTATATATATATATATATATATAGTAGATAATAAATAAATAAGTCCTTATATATATATATATGACAACGGCTGAAGGTCTTACAGTTGCAATTGTAAATTGAAGATATCTTCCGACCAATTAAACAAAATTTCTTTTTTAAATTATATGCATTCTCCTTAAATGGTTGAGGAATCGCAGAAAATGGAACGGATCAGACCATTGTCCAATATCAATAGTAATAAGATTAATCAAACACGGATCAGACCATTGTCCAATACCCATAGTAATAAGATTAATCAAACCATTGTCAAATATCCATAGTAATAAGATTCATCAAACAAGAAAGGGAAATGGAAATTAAACAATGGTTTATTATATTATTATATTAACATTCAATATAAGTGATTCTGTTTTTTTGGAAGACGATATAATTTACATTACGGTGAAACACTATTGCTAATTCTGCAAAGAAAAGAAAGAAAGGGATTAAGAAGATACATTTACATTTGCATGGCATTGTCACTATATAGGCTATTTGAAAGCTGTGTCTTTGATAGGACTTAAAATACCATGCACCACGAGACATAATTCTTAGCGTATTAATACAACTGCATTATCCATTGTAAACAAACATGACAGCTGCTGAAATATCGCTTGGCATCATGAGACATGACAATGTAATTGTGTAAAAGAAAAGATTTTTTTGATTTTTTTTATTACAACAAAAACAAGATCAACGTCTACAATATCGTACGAAATGCACATTGGTTTAAATAACCAATGCCGGCAACGGAAACAATTTTAATACTTATGCAATTTATCAGAAATACCGTCTGTTACCCTGCACTGATCCACAGGGGTTCGTTCCAAATGTCTGAAATACACATATGTTATAAACCTATCGATATGAGTCACAGCACACATAAACATACACAAGGCATAGGCTATGTGTATTTCAGACATTTGTAACGAACCCCTGTGGTCTGTCGCAAGATCACTCACTCCAAACACTATCAGTATCACGTGTCTATCAGCCAAGGTTTCCTCAGTTTCTGACGACATGTCAAATAACGAGGCGGTTGTAGAATCTTCCGACTGTAGTGCAGGTTCCCATACTATCAACAAATAAATTCACATCTGGATTCTTCAAAAATTCGCACTTTTCTCTCTGCTCATTCAACTTCCAAAAATAACTCCCTCGTGGAGGGCAATGTCGGATTACCGTGTACACTGTATTTATCCATGCGCGAAATTTGTTCCGGGGTAAAATCGAAACAATTTCAAATGATACTTCCAGCTCAGATTTCTATAGATAAACTTAAATCACCCTATGGACATATTATACGCAATTGTATTGATATTGAATTGTGGAATAAAATTTAAGTGTTTGTTAAAATTTCAAAGTACTACTTTGTTTGCCAATCAGCACGCGACAACACGCTGTTCCAACTATTGAACGAATTTGTGTGAAATTTTTATAAGGCGGGAGTTTTAAATTTTAGATATAATTGTAAGTATAGGTATTGAACTGTTTTTGTATGGTATTTATGATATATTTGAATGACACAGCTTTACATTGATGGATACACCGTTGGATTTAAAAAAAAATCCTTTGTAGATATACATATTTTTGTTATGTTGAGCGTTCGCCCAGGTGAGGAAAGCAATTAGTTCTAAACCCAGGCCGGGACATAGCAAAGTCTTTACAAATGGAAGTTGTTATTCCCGGCTTAACGTTCAGCATTTAGCCCCCGGGGATGGCAACAACTGGTTCGCCCGTATATGGTCCTAAGGTCGGGACTCGAGAAAAGAACACACTGCTGTTACCCACTGCATGTATCGTAAGAGGCGATTAATGTGGGAACCCTCTGCAGAATTTAGGATTTGCTTTTGTGTCCTCTACTTGGGGACACTAAAGCGACTGAAATAAATAGGTTGCACCCACTGCTATATTTGAGATGTTGAGTATTTAGGGGATTGGCAACAACTGGTTCAACGGTTGTCACTATAATGTGACAGGTTTGGTTTGGTTTGGAATCAGTTCTGCGCTATCACAAGGAGACAAACACGAACATATTGCAGCCTCCCAAAACACACGCATACACTACACGCATGCATCTTGCACACAGGGGAGGCCGTCCTTAATGACCATATATGTTGATAGGACGTTAAACAATACTAAACCAAACCAAACCAGATTTGGTGTACAAGGACATCTTGGGATGGCAGGGTGCAAGAATTAAGTCACTGTGACATATGACTTGACCTTTGACCTTTACTTTCGAACAAGGTTGTCCGGCGAAAATCTTCTATATTTACTCACCTGGAGTAAACAGATTTGGTGTACAAGGACAACTTGGGATGGAGGAGTGCAATAAGTAGGTGACTATGACCTTACTGTGACTTATACTTCCTGACATAAGTAATCTGTTTGTTAATAATAGAAATCATTACCGGTGGGGGACTATTAGTTGCCTTGCAATACTTTGCCTTTTTATTAATTATGACTTTAAAATTTTCAGAGACAACACCTGATTCAAAAACTACTACCTTATCGAAGAAGACGACGACGACAACCACCACCACCACCACCACTGAACAATCAACTGATTCGGACACTACTGCGGTCTTCTTACCACCAACGACAGATCCGTCAAGCACAACTGCTTCATTTGTAAAGACTAATGCTACAAGCACTTGCATTAGTCGGTATGCAAATGCTACGAGTTGCACGGATGGGGAGCTGTTGTGTGAACTTGCTAAGTTAAAAAAGCAACTGCCAATAGACAACACTACACGCTCGTCATATAAAAGGACAAAAATCAGTGTGTATGTCGGACGGACGGCAGCTACAGATATCGGTATGAATTAGCCATATTAGTAATACCTGATTTCATAAGTGTTCTTAAGTTTATTATCTATAGAAATTTAATCAGGAAAATAAAATATTGTCCTGCCTAAATGACCTCATAAAGGATCTTCTCGGTGATTGGACGTCCTATGTATTTAGTTGGATCTGTTGTCCCCATTGCAACATTGCAAAAGGTCATTTTCGTTCTCAAACTTTGTTGGGCTCTGTCCCAGGAAGCTACCAGCCAATTATAAAAATTCTATACCTTTCAGTTCTTCAGAAGAAGTTGTTTGAAGTGTTTGACACATTTGACCTCTGTGACCTTGAAAGAAGGTCAAAGTAATTTTCATTCTCAAACTTTGTTGGGCTATATCGTAGGAAGCCATCAATCAAATATAAAAATTCTATACCTTTCAGTTCTTCAGAAGAAGTCGTTTGAATTGTTTGACATATTTGACCCCATGTGACCTTGAAAGTAGGTCAAGGTCATTTTCGTCCTTCGCGCAGGTGAGCTAAAAATAAACAGCTTTGTGCAACGTTCCTTAAAATGAGAATATGAATTTGCCTTTCTTTGTTAAACTAGGCTCGTGTATATAGCTTAATGGAATTTGCATCCCGCAAACACTCATTCCTTTGTAGACAAATGTATTTTATACAATTACGCAGATGACAACACACTGTCTAAGATTTGTGACAATTATATGTATTTGAAAGATTGTTTAGAAAAAGAGAGCAAAGTTCTTATAGAATGGTTTGATTTTAATGGTATGAAGGCCAATCCAGAGAAATTTCAGGCGATATGTTTTGACAAAAAGAATAGTAACACTATCAAATCTTTTAATATTGAAAGCCTTGAGATTATTTGTGAAGACAGTGTGAAACTTTCAGGTGTAGATATTGACTATCTTCTTAAATTTGATGTACATATATCTCGCCTTTGCAGAAATGCTGCTAAACAACTTGCTGTTTTAAAAAGACTGGGAAACAATCTTACAAAGAAAGGAAAAATTACCATTTTTAAGTCTTTTATTCTATCAAATTTTAACTATTGTCCACTTGCCTGGCACTTTTGTACATTGACAAATACTCGAAAAATGGAAAAAAAGTTCAGGAACGAGCACTTTGTTTTATTGAAAATTATTATGTTACCCCAGTCATTGATATTCTTAGAAAACACCAACTAGGTTTTTAAAATTTTAAATGAAATTTCTCCATCAATTTTACAAAATCTTGTTGAAAGGAAAAAAGTTTTTTACAATCTGAGACAAGATAACCTGGTAAAGATTCCAAAGGTGAACACCTCCACATATGGTAAGAGATCTTTCCGTTTTGCTGCTTCCAAGGTATGGAACAGCCTACCAAATGAACATCTATTAGCTGAAAACTTTAAGTCGTTTCGTGGGCTGCTCCGCACCTGTAACAAAAATGTCTGCTCATGTGCTATCTGCACACACCATGTGAGTTGTCAATATCATAATTATAGCTCTGTTTCTATTTATGACTTCATTGTCTCTTTTTAATTCACACTATATTAGTGTATATCCTGTAAATTTTTACACTTTGCTACATTAGCATATATGTACATTACACTATTATAGTTCTTAACTTGTCTTTTGTAACACTTGTGTGACATTCAAGTGTGATATCATATGCTCTACTGTATAATTTTAGCATATCTAATTTGAATTGTTGTCCTGTTTTTATATTTATATATACTCATAAGTACTGTGATCCTTGTTAAATTGTATATATGTTTTGTCGCAAGAATAGCACTACAGTGCTAATGTTATTATGTTACATGTATATGCGACGTTAAATAAAGCTTCTTGACTCTTAATTGACTGAACTCCTATATATATGAGCATCACAAAGACAAAGACGCCCTGCGTCCGTTCTTAAACAATTCTTGTTATCTGAATTTCTCTGGGAAGTACTGGCGGGATCTTTATCAAATTTTATATGTAAGGCTCCCATTGATATGTAGTTGTGCATGTTCAATTTTGAGAATGACCAGATAATCAAAAGGGCTGACATGCAGCCATCTTGGATTTTTTACATTGAAAGTTTGTTATTGCTATTTCTTAGGAAGCACTGGAGGGATCTTTCTCAAATTTTATATGTAGGTTCCCCTTTGTATGTATAGTTGTGCAGGTTTTCTTATGAGACTGGTCGGATAAACAAATCTTTGATTTTGAAAGTTAAGGTTTGTTAGTGCTATTTCCCAGGAAGTACTGGAGGGTTCTTTCTCAAATTTTATATGTAGGTTCCCCTTCGTCCCTGGTTGTGCATGTTTACTTTTGAGACTGATCAGATTAACAAAATGGCTGACAGGCAGCCATCTTGAATTTTGACAGTGAAGGTATGTAATAGCCATTTCTCAATAAGGACTGGAGAGATCTTTCTCATATTTGACATGTAGGTTCCCCTTGGTTTGTAGTTGTGCAGGTTTTCTTATGAGACTGATCGGATAAACAAATCTTTGATTTTGATAGATAAGGTTTGTTAGTGCCATTTCCCAGGAAGTACTGGAGGGTTCCCAACTGTCCTTTATATTATTGTTCATGTTTACTTTTGAAACTGACCAGATACACAAAATGGCCGACCTGAGGCCATCTTCAATTTTTTACATTTAGTGCTATTTCTCAGGAATAACTTGCGGGATCTTTCTCAAATTTAATATGTAGGTTCCACTTGATTTCTTGTTGTGTATGTTATATTTTGAGACTGATCATAAAAACAAAATGCCCGAATGAAGAACTAAACAGATCTTTCTCATATTGCAATGATCGATTCTAGATCTATTTCTTTCACATTAAGTACTGTACTAGTAAAAGTGTGAAATGACAAACTCACTTTGAAGGTTGTCTTTTATACACAGCAGTATATTAAGTTTAGATCAAAAGTTACCTCAAGGTGAATTTACTGTTAACATGACTCGATCAAACAGATTAGAGAAAAGAAGAGAAAAGATAGAACTAACAAAGAACTAATGAAGACGGTACAATGGAGGGCGCCAAGATCCCTCTGGGATCTCTTGTTAATAAATAGCGCCAACATGAATTGTTTAAGGACAGATTGAACAACCGACGGTCTACTGACGCAGGGTGATTTGAATAGCCCACCATCTGATGATGGTTGGCTAAAAAACTTGTTTCATAAATGTTGTAAAAGGAATAAAGTGCAAGTACCAAATTAAATGAAAACAAACAAAAATTGTATGTATAAAGTTGTTTTAATCTGTTGATAGTATTTTATACATTTCATTAGAGTAGTATCACATATTCTATTGAGATGTTAACTGTAAACATAGTAAATAGTATATATACATATACTCCCATTACAGAACGTAACTCATGGTAACTATTAACTACAAACAAGTATTGCAAAGGATGTAAACACTGACATTAGAAACAAAAAAATAACAAAATGTTTGCTGTTAAAAAATCTCCCACTCGTACAATTACTGTTGAATGATGGTGAAGTAAGATTCTCTGTTATAAAATTTCAATTATACCACACTCATGACAATTTACAAGGTGAACAATACAATTTAGAGGCTTAAGAATAAACCCTATTTTATCCCAAATAAACAAGAGGCCAAAAGGGCCCAATACTGCTCACCTGATTTACAATTTACCTTTATATTGTAAAGGTGTGTACCCTGTAATTCCCACAAGTCCAAATTTTGAATTAATTAACAACTTGGGCGATGCTGATTGTGGAATACTTAGTCTTTATACTATCTACTTCTACTCTACAAGTTGTGTTTACAAAGAGAGTTTTCCCCCTTTACTTAAATCCTTTAGCAAGGGATATTCAGTGCGGAAATCAGCTAACAATTTCTTCAATAGTTTATTAAAAGCCTAGATTTTGATAAAATGAAATCTGATTTCCTTCTGGGCAATACCCTTATTGGAAAGCCAAACCCTACACTATACAACAATAAATCCCTTGGTCAAGGGTGAGGGGTGCTGAATTAGATCCAAATCAAGGGGACCAACACCCAATGGTCATACCATGTTAAATGTCTTGGGCAAGCCATGCTCCATGCCATATTTGGTCATGATCCCTTGAGACATATTTACGGAGCAATATTTTATGATTAACCAATATTGACCCTTGAAAGCTTTATGTTACATTTATACACCATATAATTCCACTGGCCTATACTAGGAATGATTTGTGCGAAGTTTAACGAGACAATTCGTAGAAGTCATATTCCCTGCTTTCAGGACATGTTCATACTTAATACATTTTTGAAATTTCCAATGAGGGAGATTCCGCATGCTCAAAATTAAAACATCAATAAAATGTGTAAACATGCGCCCATCACAATCATGATGGATCTTAGCTACAAACAAACAGGTTATAATGTATGTACATACCAGATTTCATTGATATCGACCCATTATTAGGACAGTAATTGCATGGAATCCAATTTATTTGCAAATCACAAGTTTGTAACCTCATCAATTAAATGTCAATATGTACAGATCACAATCAAAATTGAACTCGGCCTTAAACTTTGTTGAAATCGGACTATCTTTAAGGCAGTTATGGCATGGAAACTAAAATGTGACAGACTGATGGGCCCAAATTAATATTCCTCACTTACTTCAAAAAGTGGTAGATAATTGTAAAAATTTTACCAGTTTTATAGGTGATAACATTCAGTCGATATAATGAAGCCGTGGCAGAGACAGCTGGTTGGGCCTTTGGAGACACGAGAGATAATAATAGCCCTGATTAAAATAAATAAGTATTTAGAGTAACAATCTGGAATTCATGATTGCTTTAAACACTTAATAAATAAATAGGTACGCTATCTACAGATTTCATTTTGCCTGATGACATTTAGCAAATAAATGCATAAAGAAAACTACATTTTTCAATTAATTTAATTAATAAAACAAAATTAATTGGATACCTATATATCATTCTGTTGTAGCCTTACAAACTGAATTTGTGGCCTAATTTTCACAGAAAAACAAAAAAAAAAATACTCAGATTTTGGGTAAATTATCCTTAAAGTGAAATCTTTGAACATATAACACACATCAAACATGAAAGTTTTAGCATAATCTTCATCATTTACTCCAACAGATTAAACTCCGGACTACATAGTGGTCAACAAATCTTACAGAGAACAACAATATAAAACATTAAAGAATAAACTCTCACACCAAAACAACATCTATATCATCCATAAATACAATTTAATAATTATTCTTGGTACAAAATTAAATCACAATTTTAATAGATTTATTACCGTGAATTATCTGAGACAACATAGGTAAAACATAGACATGAAAACAGCGACAGATTAGAGAAGGAGTTAGCTCCCCTTGTCAGACATTTCACTGATGATAATGTAAATATAAATGAATTAAAACCAGTCGATATATGATGCAGCCCTCCCTGCTACTACAGCATTCAATAGCTGGGTGTAGAATGACCCTTTTCAACATTTTGGTTATAGCATGTATAATTTAACACAAAGGCACATACATTGTAGTAACTGATAAACGGCCAACTTCTGACGATTTGAATGTAACGTACAGCACCAATTAATGGTTACGGTAATTCCTGATCTATGATTCAAATATACCAGCATTGAATAATGGTTAATTCTAGACCAACAATTAAATGTATTATTGGTAGTGATTTACATTTAAAAATTGATTCAATAGTATGGTACCATTCATAGCTGTCAAACCTCCCTCATTAGGAGGGAGACTCCCTCTTTTTGACAAAAAAAATATCAATCTCGCTCGAATCTCCCACATTCAACTCCAAACTTGCACAAACTCAAAATCTATTTCTTGTGGTCAAATGATCTCCTAGTTCCTGCACAGTGTGTAATGATCATAATAGGTGTCTGAATTAAATGAATGCTTTTTTGGAGTTATTTTGATACATAAAAAGGGAAAGATAAATTGATCAAAGCAGTTTTAGTTTCATACACTTTCTCCCTCATTGGAAATGTGGAATGAAGGGGATCTTCCTCACTGTAGGTTTCAGAGGTTGACCAGTGAGGGAGATCTCCCTCACTGTAGGTTACAGAGATTGACCAGTGAGGGAGATCTCCCTCACTGTAGGTTACAGAGGTTGACCAGTGAGGGAGATCTCCCTCACTGTAGGTTTCAGGGGTTGACCAGTGAGGGAGATCTCCCTCACTGTAGGTTACAGAGGTTGACCAGTGAGGGAGATCTCCCTCACTGTAGGTTTCAGAGGTTGACTAGTGAGACTTTATGACATAAGTGATTGTTTAACGATGTACTCTTCTGAGGTTTCAATCACGTTCAAGTCTCGTTTTGATCAGGTGTAATGGGTTTTTGAAATATCTAACAAATTATGAGCAAAAACGCATCTGAAAAATATGTCAAAAAAACAAGATGCCTGTTGTTTGTAGAACTTAATATACAAGAATTTAAAAAATTACCAATTCAGTGGCCATTTTGAAAATGTGTATTTCTTGCGCTTCAAAAAAGGCCAAAATTTCACCTTTTTTGACACTAGATTGATCACTTAAGTTGTCATTGTGTCGCCATTTTTAATTGTAGCATGTTCAATTTTGCTGTACAACTTTATAATGTTCAATATGATAAAAATGATATGGAACAAACTGGAAAATTATACATAGTTGTTATTTTTTTTAACGTATTTAGTGTAACTGAAGCACTTTTGATTTTTGACCCCGAAAAAGGTAAAAAATAACACAAATGATAATGGGACATAAAAAGAAGCACACTGACCCCCCATTTTTGTAGATGTTTTAGAAAGAGAAACACATTTTCATTCATTAAATATTAAAAAAAGTTTAATACCAGAACTTTTCATATCAAGCGTTTAATCTGCAAAAAAATGGTAAAAAAATAGTATTTTTTTCATTAAAAAATAGGAGGTAGGGGTAACTAAAATCGACTTTCTGAGTTAAAAGAATAAGATTAAGAAATTTTACTTCCATAATTTAAAAGAAAATAATATTTTCATAAATTCCACAAACATTCATACATATCTGATAACACACTTGGAAGAAATTGTATGAATTTGTTCTGCAAATGGTCAAAACCCCAAAAATCACCTAAAATCACATGTTGTGTTAAATTGGTATCTTTGACCGATCACACCACAAAAACGAACACACCGACATATAGTTTTTTTGCATTTTCTACTATGCCATTAACTCCTTTTTCCAAAAATTCATATAAGAAAAACAAATTAATACAGGAAAATTTTGACTTCTCAGAGGTGTACATCCTTAAAACTTACACAAATCAATTGATTAAGGATCCTTTTCTATCTTTCTCCGACATTTATCAAGTTGATTACCAGTAGTACGTACTTCGCTTTTTCCACTTGACTTGCTAATAACCTCTCTGAATCAAATTTGTTAATGGATAGACTAAGTTGCATTGGGATCTCGATACATCTGTGATGGCTAGGTGGTCTTACTATGTTGTGATGGGGTGATGGTGAACTTTCTTAATAAAAGTACTAACATATCGTCAACAATGTCTTATTACACTTATCTCTACAATAAAATAAAACCATGGTTAGTATTTTATAAATGCACTGGGGTCAAAAATATCTACACTTTTGGGTTTTAATTATAAACCTTCTCAACACAATAGTATTTCATGTTAGAAAGTTTTACATAATATTGGTGCATTTATATATTTCTCAGCTTGAGACAGTCCTATACTACTTACATTACTTATAGTGTTATAATTTGCCAGTGCTGTAGGTAACGGTGCAGTGTACATAATCATGTAGATATACAAAATTGGGACAGCAAATAGAGTTGATCATCGATAAGATTTTCAAGTATTGCAGCTATTTTTCCATTCACACGATTTACTTAAGTGTTGTATAGAAAAACCTGAAGAAAATTCTACAAATGTCACCATGCTGTTGTGTGAATACATCAAAGTCACATCCTTTTGTTTATGAACTCATGTTTATGACAGAATGATTTCATCGATAATGTAAGTGTAATAATGAGATGTTTTTTAATAACATTAGATATCACCAGATTCTCTTACCATATTTATCCTCCAATAAACCGTCGGGTCAACACAATCTTTGTCTCAAAGTAGGGAGTGGGCTTATAACAGGACAAAGAAACAGCATTGGTGGGCATTTTTTCCTCACCTGCAATATCTGGGTGGGCTTATTGCAGGATAAATATGGTATCGTGTCACAAATAGCAAACATGGTAGAATTTCATTTCAGGCACTTTTGGTTTTTCTTTGCAATATTCTCAGAAATTTTTGATCCGCTGATAAGAGGATTTTAAATTTGCTTCCGTTTTGTATGCAATTATGAATCTTGTTACAATTTTTCCTCTTGCAAGCTAAAATAAATAATTATGACTTGTTTCGAAAATCTTGTACTAGATACATATGTTGTAAAAGTCATTTAATCTTTGATATGGTGGATATGGATAAGTGAAGAAACACTAATCTTCCTCTAAAACAACAAATATTTACAGGATTGTCATCTAATGGTTATACCTTCACTGTATCCCTCAGAACATCAGTCTACTGTGACAAACTGCTAAAGGTACATGTACATGTCATTAAACTTTCACACTTTTCATAAATTTACTTCCACACATTTAGAATTAAAAATTTAACCTACGCACACCAAGAAGGATTTGATTTGAATTGACACTGTTTTTTACCATTTTGGGGATTTGTGTGATTTTGAACACCCTAGTTGGCAATTTATGTTTATCATTATTTTGAAGCAAATGAGATATACCGGTGTTAGTTACACAAATAAAAACAGTTCATATACATATGTATATAGTAAACTATTCAGTGTGATAACATACTCACAGCAAAGGTAATGCCCATCCTTTAAAAAAACTACTTCTCTAAAATGCAAGCTGGTATAGAAACATCACACATAACAAATACAGGTATTGAATTAAATTTACATTTAATAATTGTTTATCTTATACTTAATGTATTTTTTGGGTATAATTACCTCAGTAAATGTCTTCATGTATACAGTATTTCTTTCCATACAATGAATACAATTTTTCTTTGCAAAAGCATTCATTATCTTTTTCTGATAAGTCCTTCATTGAATTTCTGTACATAACGTATTTATCCTGTTATAAGTCCAGGGTACCATCACATAATATCTGACAGGGGGAGGGGCGGATGGGTCCTATTATAGGACAATGGTACCATCACATAGTCTCTGACAGGGGAAGGGGCAGGTGGGTGCTAATATAGGACAATGGTACCATCACATAATCTCTGACAGGGGGAGGGGCGGGTGGGTCCTATGATAGGTCAATGGTACCATCACATAATCTCTGACAGGGGAAGGGGCAGGTGGGTGCTAATATAGGACAATAAGTTACCATCACATAGTCTCTGACAGGGTAAGGGGCGGATGGGTCCTATTATAGGACAATGGTACCATCACATAATCTCTGACAGGGGAAGGGGCGGGTGGGTGCTAATATAGGACCATTAGTTACCATCACATAGTCTCTGACAGGGTAAGGGGCGGGTGGGTCCTATTATAGGACAATGGTACCATCACATAATCGCTGACAGGGGAAGGGGCGGGTGGGTCCTAATATAGGAAAATGGTACCATCACATAGTCCCTGACAGGGGAAGGGGTGGTGGGTCCTATTATAGGACAACGGTACCATCAAATAATCTCTGACAGGGAAGGGGTGTGGTGGGTCCTATTATAGGACAATGAAACAATTTTTTTTGGCAGTATGCAATATATATTTGTGGGCTTATTACCAGGCATGGGCTTATTGCAGGATAAATACGGTAACACAACACAGTTTACAATCTACAAAGGATCTTAAATACAAGTTTTGTATTTTAAGGGAGATTTATGAAGAAAGTACATAACTGCTTAATTCAGAGGGGTTCTACTATCAGACTATTAAGGCAGTATACAAATATTGGTGACCAAAACCCATTCTCTTACCATCTACAACTCATAATTATTGCCTTCCTGTCACCATATCCATTGTGGTTTTCGTAACTTCTTGATGATTGTTGTAACATCAGGTAACACACAATACAATGATATGAATGTATTCACTGCTGTAGTACAGACTAATTGCCGGGGGTACATTCTCACGATCTTCAGGCCAAACACCTTCTCCAAGAGGCAACTGTTGAACAGTACAGGGATGAGCACCGCCATTGGTGTAAATTCTGTATACTTAGAAACTTTTCCCCAGACAAACTTTCGCCCTTCGCCTACGAAATGCATCTTCACCCAGTGTTAATTTCACCCTTAACATGTTGTTTCTCCGTATAGTATGTTGTGTATCTATTTTGAATGTGGTAAATTCGCCATCATTACTGAGGACAAGAAAGGTGAAAAGTTAAATTGCGTTGAAAATTTTCTGGTACACAGTAGCTCATTTAGGGCACTGACATGTCATCTAGCATCCTGGAGTGGGCCTGTGATGGAAACCTCAGGGGAATGAAACACAGGCAACTGAGATGTGAAGGTAAATCGTTGGGAATCTCAAAAACAGATGAATGATTCTGGAGAAGTGCCCCAGAGCAGCAGCATCATTGAAGCCTTGTCATCACCTCAAGTGCCAGACAGCACAGAGCTGACCGAAGTAAAGAAGTAGTCAACACATGACAGATTAGAAGTTAAGTGATATAAATGTTTCCAGCTTGGCACATATTGTTAGGTAAGGTCTGAAAAGTAATCTCCAGTTGATGCTGTGCCTAGCTATGATTGAACTTTGACATCAGAGTATTTGATTTGAACTGATGACGGATGTGTAAGTCTGAGAGGCTGTTAGGTTTAGCACCAATATATCAAAAGTTATTGCCAAGAATGTGTTGATTGGTCAATGATTGGTCAAAATTCAGGGTTGACTAAAGGTTAAAAGGTCAACCCATGGTCAGAGGTCAATGGAATGCTAATTACTGAGGTCCATAGAGTCTAGACTGGTTACACTCGGAGTGGAGGCGAGAGGTTTCTGTGGTTTGCGGACATTCCAGTGTAAACATTCTGCTAAACTATCAAACCAATCATCCATTTGATCTTTAAAACACACGGAGGGTACTGGATATTGAGCTGTTGTGATGATCACACTGTAAAGAAAAGGACAAAATTATTGTTTTTACTTAATTTTTTAACATATTTAAATACAAGTCTTCCAAAGAATAAATGCCATAACTTTATGTCTATAGTTAAGGTCATGATTTGTACCAGAATTATCTCCCCTTATATTTTAAATTGGCATGCTGCATGTGTACCTTTTGAAAACTAGAAAATGTCAGTAAGATATAAATGCCCCCGCTGCCATGTGAAATTAGTTTCAGTTTGTTTTTTCTGTATGTTATTACCATCCTGAAACACAAGAATGTCAGAGGTATACCCATATTTGGCCTTTATATAAAGTTTGACTAAAATCCGTGAAAGAATGAAGTTGTTAAGTGTTTAAATTGAATCAGTTGATGATTTTCTATATATAGCAACAGTGACCTTGGCCTTGACCTTGGAACCCTGAAACACAACAATGTCTGACGTATACTCATACTTGACCTTTGTATAAAGTTTGACCAAAATCTGTCAAAGAATGAAGTTGCTAAGTGTTTACATTGAATCGGGATGGGACGGGATGGGACGGGACAGGACGGGACAGGACGGGACGGACATGGCCAACACTATATGCTCCCCCATTTCTAATTGATTCCACACACCTTAGATTAACACAATCTGTCATTTTTTAAGAGTCCAACTCTGGATTTCTAAGCTTAAATTTTAATTGGCTGATAATTGGGTTATTTCTTTTATTTCTTATTTGCCTACAATGCAAATAATAAACCCACCTGTCCTCCTGGGTGTACTCATGTACTAAAAGCCTAGAGAGTAAAACTCACCTGTCCTCCTGGGTGTACTCATGTACCTAAAGCCTAGAGAGTAAAACTCACCTGTCCTCCTGGGTGTATTCATGTACTAAAAGCCTAGAGAGTAAAACTCACCTGTCCTCCTGGGTGTACTCATGTACTTAAAGCCTAGAGAGTAAAACTCACCTGTCCTCCTGGGTGTAATCATGTACTAAAAGCCTAGAGAGTAAAACCCACCTGTCCCCCTGGGTGTACTAAAAGCCTAGAGAGTAAAACTCACCTGTCCCCCTGGGTAATCTCCTGGCGATCCCGCCCATCAAATGATGCTGATGCCGGATTCCGTGAATCAGGAGCCACGCTCACCTGTATACATAGGCAAAGACAGTAAAGGTTAATAGGGAGTATTGTTTTCTACACAAGAATCATACTCACACATTTATCAATATCATCCTTAAGAATATTAAATGTTAATACAGAAGAGAGCTGTTACAGGGTAACATGTGTTGGTTGAACCTGTGGCCAACTTTTCTGTTCTTAATTGACAGACTTTCAGGTTGTAAATTATAAAGTATAATACACAAGGAAAATCTAGTTATAGGCATTGAGTTTTTAGAATATGCATGCTTTTATTTACACTCGCTCAAGATGTTATAAATAGGAGTGAAGTGTCCCCACCTTAATCTCCACCCTTAATGCACCAAGATTTGTCAAAATACAAGTGAAGTCGCCACTTCTGTGTACATGACTGGTTTAAATAGAGATGTGCCCAGAAATAAATTAATACCCCTGTAAGCAAATCATTAAGCAAATCAAATACAAGTGTTGTGTGCTCACCTTAATTTCCACCCCTGCGGGCACTACGATTGGTCGAAAGGACAAGGAATGTGGACAGATAGGTGTAATAACGATGGCGGGAACACTGGGGTGAACCATAGAGGCTCCAGCAGCCATGGCGTATGCAGTACTTCCTGTAGGTGTGGAGATGATGATTCCTAAAATGAAGAAATGTCGCAATATTGAAACCATGTCAAGGTCACCGATGTAGAAATATATTGAACCAAGGTCAAGGTCCCCTACGTAGGAATGTCACATAACGGAAACAGGTCAATTCAGATCATTGGTTTATTTGTCGTAATGGGTATTAGGTACACAAAAATCTGATTTTGAAATGTAAATAAAATGCTCAAATACATCAAAGCAAACAAATATCTATGTTAACCAAAGATTTTCAGTTTAAAGTTCAATTTTGTCTATACAAATTTCCAAATATTTTACCTGGTAGTCAGTCTCAGATTACTTTTTAACCCTAGTAACCTTTTATTTCCTCGGGACTTACCGTCACCCTGTGCTGTAGTGACGAGGCGACCTTCCACATAGAGGTCAAGGTTGGTGAGATATGATGACTGCCCCCGGTCTATTACCACTTCATTAAAAACCTGTCCAGAGAAGAAATACAACAAATTTAAGTTTTGTTAAACTTACTTAAAACAAAAAATTTCAATTTTTTTATTTATAATTTTTTTTTATATTTTTTTTAAAAAAAGTGTAATTCAAGTTAAGTATATATATATAGACTGCTGCTCCTGCTATGTCATGGTGTGGTGTCTGTCTTCTTTTTTTTGAATTGTTTCATTTAAAGGACTAATTGCATACAACAGCTGAACAGATTTCGACAAGGTTTGGTATGAAGCATTTCTTGATGAAAGGGGAATCAATGTTATTTAAACAAAAGATGTGTCTGGCTGGGTATAGATGGGGCAGGCCAAATAGCCAAAATAAAAAATAAATATTTAAAAGCCTACTCCTTCAGTAAGGCTGAAGTGATTTTAACATGATTTGATATGGGGCTTTATGGTTTGCTATGGGGACCCTTCCCCACTCAGTAAAGGGGTGGGGTCAAAAGGGGAAATACCCAGAAAGGGTTAGAATTAAAGGGATAAAGCTTATTCATTTAGTATGGATAAAGAGATTTTAATCTGATTTGTTTAAAAGGAGAAGGGGAATCAACGCCATATTAACAAAAAGTGTACCCTACATGTGGGCGAATCGATGCAGCCTGATAAGGTAAATAGCAGAAAATATTCAAAATGTAATCTGTACGTATAGGGAAAGGGATTTGTACGAATCAAATGACAGATAACTGTTGCATAGAGGCGACCTACCAGTATTCGTGCTCCTACTTTGGTTGGTATGGAAGTTTTGCTAGGTGAACCGCCATCCCTCTTGCTAACTATACACTTGAGGCGATATCTCAGTAGTAAACTGGCATTTCCTGAAACAACACAATTTATAAACTGTAATCAAGTAATCCTTAAACAAATCTACAATCGTTTTTTAAAAGAAAATATTTTGATTAACTATATAGCATTTTATCAACTGTACAGGAAACTAAACCAGATAATATTCATAAAAGTAGTTTATTGTCTTTGAAAGAGTTGTCTCCCTTCATTCACACCATCATAAGTTTACATAGAAACTTGGTTATATTTTTAGCAATACCACCCTGACATTAATTAACTCATTCATCACTGAAATTCCTTAATGAACTATTCAATCCTTTGAATTGGAAGAGTTCAAATGTGTCTTTAGGGGTGAATGAGTTAAATGTTGTAGGAGAACTTACCTTCTAACACACCAGTGACTTGTTCCTTGAAGTTATTGAAGTGGAATGGAGTTAGAAATCCCAAGGAACCAAGGTTGAATGCCATCACTGGTGGCACACTCATCTGGAATCACAAACAAAGTCTTCCTGTATTTACAATTTAGAACTAGGTGCAATGGAGAAAGATCCCTCCAGTACTTTCGGAGAAATGGTGCATACAAGAACTAAGAACAGACAGATGTCGGACCATGGATGAAGGGTGATTTGAACAGCCCAGCCCAGCATCTGGTGATGATGGTTAACAACTAAATAAAGGAGATATACTTTAATACCTAACACTGATGACAATCGTTTTTGCATCCAAAGGATGCAAAGAGGTTTAAGATAGAACTCTACCAAGGTACCACTAGCACAGCTCACTTTGCAAGCCAAGACATATAGGTATACCAAATCTGGTTATTCCGAGTGAATTGGTCTACATTGTAATATGAGAAACATCAACACATACTTGCTAACTCTCCCTATTTTGGACCCTAAAATTGAGCATTTTCAACAGGTGAATTTGCTGAACTATTCCTATTTTCTAACATCTGTTGGTTTCATCTGAAAGAACAGTTCCAAAGATGTCATATAAAAGTGTTAGTTTTCCCCTAGGGTGTACATTCACACACTGAATACATGTATATGATTATAATTCTGAGCACACATAATCTTCCAATGGAAATTTCAAGACGTTGGCAAATATGTCAACAAACGGGCAATAACTAGTAAGAAACACTTGTAATGTGAGTGGTAGTCCTATATTAATTAACCCATCACCCCTAAAGTAACATTTGAACCTTACCAACTCAAAACTGAAAAAGTCTATTTACAATAAATAGGGGTGAATGAGTTAATCTCGTAGGACTGTCTCATTTGGTAGTAGTATTTCTCCAGAAGCTGTATAGAATACAATCCCTCAAATAAGGGTTGATTACAAAGTCTCTACCTTTATGTGATCCATCGTTATTTAAACAGTGTACACAATTGTCAGCATGATACACTCCTACACCTTACATAAAACCTGTTTTATAATTAGTTTGGTGTCCCAGCTTGTCACCGTTATTATCTGTTTTACAGTAACTACCTGGATATCGGTACTTACCTGGAATAACGATGACGCGTACAGCAGTGTACCATCCCCTCCCAGACAAATGATAAAGTCCACCTTGTTTGTCAGATCATCCTTTTCTGAAACGTTAACAAAAACAACTTTCTTCTGTTATCTTCAATAAGTCTCATCAGTTTGGAAATATGTTACATCAATGTTTTACTATTTACACAGCCAATGTACGTATTAAACGTGTCATGAATGTCACAGCTTGACAAAGTTGAAGATCTAGAACTGATCTTCAACATACCTCCGTTGAAGATCTAAAACTGATCTGTATCTACACCTCCGTTGAAGATCTAAATATAAAACTGATCTGTATACATACCTCCGTTGAAGATCTAAAACTGATCTGTATATATACCTCCGTTAAAGATCTAAAACTGAACTGTATGTATACCTCCGTTGAAGATCTAAAACTGATCTGTATATATACCTCCATTGCAGATCTAAAACTGATCTGTATACATCCCTCCGTTGAAGATCTAAAACTGATCTGTATATATTCCTCCGTTGAAGTTCTAATACTGATCTGTATGTATACCTCCGTTGAAGATCTAAAACTGATCTGTATACATACCTCCGTTGAAGATCTGAAGCTTATTCTGTATATATACCCCCGTTGAAGATCTAAAACTGATCTGTATATATACCTCCATTGCAGATCTAAAACTGATCTGTATACATACCTCCGTTGAAGATCTGAAGCTTATTCTGTATTTCCTTGAACTTGTCATCCACCTTAAGTATGGAATCTTCTAAAACAGACGATTCGCAGTACACCAGCATGTTCTTTACCTGGAAATGAACAAACATTGTAAAATTTGACCAAATCTTCGAAACCTTCACACAATATCTAAATATGATATCAGTATTTGGCGATGGTCAGTACATTCCAACCTGCTCATGTGGCACCTTCATTATATAGGAACTCTTTGAGGTGGAGATATAGTATGTTCAATTTAGATATAATTTTAAAATGGTTTCTGTGAAATTACTTCTTCATCAAATGCATGGCAGAGTATCCATTGACATTTCTAGATCTGACAATATGATCAAGGTTAATAATAGACAATAACTAAGTCACTGTTTAGTATTCTATCTAGCCATCAACTAAATTAGTCAAATGGAATATCTGCATGCACTGTTAAGTGTGTTACCAGAACAAAACAAAGGGGGTTACCTTGACAAGCCATTGGACAAGGTTAAGGAAGGCTGTCAGGGCACCATCGTCAAACAGCTTCTTCACTACAAGGACCGTCAGTGGAGGTTTGTTCCAGGTCAGCTTCTGGTTACGAGGGTCTGGTATTGTCCTGGAAACCATTGGTATCACAATCATGATTACGTATAATTAATTTGTATATAATGAATTCATACATAAGTTAATGGAAATGAAATAAACACTGCCAGAACAGAATTCAAACCCTGGACATGTAAACGCTCTAACCAATTGAGTTACCTGGTCATTAGCAATCAGCCCAGTCTAGTTCCTCTACACATATACACACCCTAATAGGTACACAGCTCAAGGTCATGTTGTATGTAAAGAACCTGAAAAGTTCACAGTTCAAGTTCATGTTGTATGTATAGAACCTGAAAAGTTCACAGTTCAAGGTCATGATGTATGCATACACCCTGATAGGGACACAGTTCAAGGTCATGATGTATGTACACACCCTGATAGGTACATAGTTCAAGGTAATGTTGTATGTACACACCCTGATAGGTACACAGTTCAAGGTCATGTTGTATGTACACACCCTGATATAGGTATACAGTTCAAGGTCATGTTGTATGTACATACCCTGATAGGTACATAGTTCAATGTAATGTTGTATGTATACACCCTGATAGGTACAGAGTTCAAGGTTATGTTGTATGTACACACCCTGATAGGTACAGAGTTCAAGGTCATGTTGTATGTACACACCCTGATAGGTACATAGTTCAAGGTAATGTTGTATGTACACACCCTGATAGGTACAGAATTCAAGGTCATGTTGTATGTACACACCCTGATAGGTACACAGTTCAATGTCATGTTGTATGTACACACCTGAGAGGTACACAGTTCAAGGTCATGATGTATGTACACAGTTCAAGGTCATGATGTATGTACACAGTTCAAGGTAAAGAAGTATGTACACAGTTCAAGGTCATGATGTATGTACACCCCCTGATAGGTACACAGTTCAATGTCATGTTGTATGTAAACACCTGAGAGGTACACAGTTCAAGGTCATGATGTATGTTCACAGTTCAAGGTCATGATGTATGTACACACCCTGATAGGTACACAGTTCAAGGTCATGATGTATGTACACACCCTGATATGTACAGAGTTCAAGGTCATGATGTATGTACACACCCTGATAGGGACACAGTTCAATGTCATGTTGTATGTACACATCCTGATAGGTACACAGTTCAAGGTCATGATGTATGTACACAGTTCAAGGTCATGTTGTATGTACACACCCTGATAGGTACAGAGTTCAGGGTTATGTTGTATGTACACACCCTGATAGGTACACAGTTCAATGTCATGTTGTATGTACACACCCTGATAGGTACAAAGTTCAAGGTTATGTTGTATGTACACACCCTGATAGGTACAGAGTTCAAGGTCATGTTATATGTACACACCCTGATATGTACACAGTTCAATGTCATGTTGTAACACACCAAAACAGACACACAGTTAAAAGTCATAGAGCTAGCATACTTATTATGAACTAAAGATTTAACACTATTAAGTGCACAAAACATGTTTCTGTTTCACATAGTACATGTATGCAAGTGGCAATTGTAGTCATGTAACAGAAATTCATATACATGTACCTTTAACAGACAGGTATGTATTCAGTAGGAATCAAACCCAAGACTAGCAGTGCTTTAAAGGATTGTTTAGAATTTACAGGGAATATTGGGTCTGTAACAAATAAGTAAGAGGATATTTTACCATTTCCCATCCCATTACTGTGACAACCCTAACCCCTACTTCCCTACCTGTAAAACCCTGCCAGTAGGATATTTTACCATTTCCCACCCCATTACTGTGACAACCCTAACCCCCCACTTCCCTACCTGTAAAACCCTGCCAGTAGGATATTTAACCATTTCCCACCCCATTACTGTGACAACCCTAACCCCTACTTCCCTACCTGTAGAACCCTGCCTGTAGGATATTTAACCATTTCCCACCCCATTACTGTGACAACCCTAACCCCCACTTCCCTACCTGTAGAACCCTGCCTGTAGGATATTTAACCATTTCCCACCCCATTACTGTGACAACCCTAACCCCTACTTCCCTACCTGTAGAACCCTGCCTGTAGGATATTTAACCATTTCCCACCCCATTACTGTGACAACCCTAACCCCCACTTCCCTACCTGTAGAACCCTGCCTGTAGGATATTTAACCATTTCCCACCCCATTACTGTGACAACCTTAACCCCCACTTCCCTACCTGTAGAACCCTGCCTGTAGGATATTTATTCACATATATTATAAGGTACCAGTCTAATCCAATCACTTTGTGCATTGCCCGTGGTGCAGGTGTACTTAGCCCAGTACGTTACTATTTAAACTGAAGGTGTTTCTCTGCAGATTGATGCATTCACAAAAAGAAAACCCACACAGAAATACATTTTTAAATCTCTTACCGCGTATGTAACTTTAGGTATAGGCTAGGGATATGTTTGCTCTACCTAAACAGTATGGCGATGTAATCAAGCTGTCCACACTTCTGTGATTGTCCGTGCTGAGATGGATTGGCTTACTCTCTTGTTAGAGTGTGTTGACATCAATATTTTAATCCCTTGGGTCACTTAGCCTTTTCTATGCATTTTAAATGGATTCTAGATGAGAACTCCTAAATTATTCACGGAAAAAAATTCTGAGGTAAATTTTATCCAGATGTTTTTGAAAAATATTATATATATATATAAGGATTAAGTGTCCTGCTTGATGGAAATAAGTTACTTGTATTTAAGCATGAGCAAACGTAAAATAAACTAATTTGGAGTTCAAACAATTTGTACATGCTCCAAAGTTTATCAACTTACAACTTCAATCAAACAGGATGTTAATCCTTCTATCAAATAACCAGAACGCTGCCCTAACCTTAACAAGTGTAATCATAGATAGGATAATTATAAAAAATAAGAACGCTGCCCTAACCCTAACAAGTATAATCATAGAGAGGATACTTATATATAACCAAAACGCTGCCCTAAACTTAACAGGTATAATTATAGATAGGATACTTATATATAACCAGAATGCTGCCCTAACCTTAACAGGTATAATTATAGATAGGATACTTATATATAACCAGAACGCTGCCCTAACCTTAACAGGTATTATTATAGATAGGATACTTATATATAACCAAAACGCTGCCCTAACCTTAACAAGTATAATCATAGATAGGATACTTACATATAACCAGAACGCTGCCCTAACCTTTACAGGTATAATCATAGATAGGATACTTACATATAACCAGAACGCTGCCCTCACCTTAACAGGTATAATCATAGATAGGATACTTATATATAACCAGAACGCTGCCCTCACCTTAACAGGTATAATCATAGACAGGATACTTATATATAACCAGAACGCAACCAAGTGGGCTTCCTCTGGTTACTCCAATGGCCTCCCACATTACAACACCCTGTGTGGTTCCATCTACCCAACAAGAGTGGTTAATATAAGCTGAGAAAACTTGTTTCAGAACTGTTGTAATTAAAGTAAAGTCAATATTTTATACATATCAATCTGTCTCCTATAAAACACATTGTCATGTGACGACACAATACATATCTCCTATGTAACATATCTCTAGTCATGATACAATACATGTCTCCTATGTAACACATGTCTAGTCATGATACAATACATGTCTCCTATGTAACACATGTCTAGTCATGATACAATACATGTCTCCTATGTAACACATGTCTAGTCATGATACAATACATGTCTCCTATGTAACACATGTCTAGTCATGATACAATACATGTCTCCTATGTAACACATGTCTAGTCATGATACAATACATGTCTCCTATGTAACACATGTCTAGTCATGATACAATACATGTCTCCTATGTAACACATGTCTAGTCATGATACAATACATGTCTCCTATGTAACACATGTCTAGTCATGATACAATACATGTCTCCTATGTAACACATGTCTAGTCATGATACAATACATGTCTCCTATGTAACACATGTCTAGTCATGATACAATACATGTCTCCTATGTAACACATGTCTAGTCATGATACAATACATGTCTCCTATGTAACACATGTCTAGTCATGATACAATACATGTCTCCTATATAACACATGTCTATAGTCATGATACAATACATGTCTCCTATGTAACACATGTCTAGTCATGATACAATACATGTCTCCTATGTAACACATGTCTGGTCATGATACAATACATGTCAATATATGCATTGAAATGACTTGAAATCTGACCCCTAGCCATGACCTTGACCTTTAAAGCACAATTCTTATGATTGTAATAGAAGGGGTCGGTTTTCAGACAGAGGAACATGCGTTAAGAAAAGATGGAAACATTGTCAAGAGGAACATTGGTAAATAGGAGAAAAGGGGCTAGGAAATGGACAGAGGAAAACAGATAAAGGGAGATAATGTGCTCAGTATTACGTTCTGAGATATAATGAACCGCACTTTTCCAGTAATCAGAGGTTTCTAAATCAGGAAGGTGTGACATTAAAGCACAAATACATTGCTACGGTGAACAGAAAGTATTGATTGAACACCAAAATAAATCCCGAACATGGGTTTCCTGCTCTGGTATGTCTAGTTAGCTGTATATAATTCATGGCTGAAACTGCTAACATCTTCCCTCTGTTACTCAGCACATATCAATATGGTAGTTAACGGTTGTGGTCACAGAAAACATATTAAATCTCTGGTCGATACTGATCTGATTTAACGAAGAGATAAGCCTTCAATTACATCACTGCTGCAACCAAATCAGTATAAATACCGGTTCTGGTTTTAGTGTGATCCCTGTCTGCTGATCTCCTTGATCACAGGTCCTATACTCGCACAGACCTGGTAATTCCATATACTGGCTGTTGTTATGTTTAAACGTATCCTGATGTGTAGAGAGTAATATTGTACATGTGAAAGATGAGGATCAACATTTGGTAAAAAAAGCAGCCCTATAATATTTACAGTATTCAGCATTTCATTTTGAACTAAAAAGCTAAACTATGTTACCTTTCAACTTTGACCGTTAACCTTTGCTATCCTGACACCTCTTTGTGTCTTGTTAAACAATTATACACATTTTTAATTCCAGTCATTAGTTTAATAGAATTTTAGTATATGGTCTTGTGGGCTTGACCTCTGTCACCAGCATCATTGTAAAAATAATTTTATAAGTTAGAGATAAACTTGCATTACACAAAGGAACTTTACCCACCCGTAACAAAGTGACATCATAACCATGACCTTTGACATTTAACCTCTTTAGCCTTCCATGTCAGGTTTATTACTTGGGTATTTTGGAACAATCACTGCCACTCTTCCTAACTTTAAAGAGTAATTTAAGTTTAAAACACTTCAACCATGTGATGGACACATACAAAAGTCAAACACTTAATTCAACTAGCCCTACTTGTTACAAAAGTCAAACACTTAATTCAACCAGCCCTACTTGTTACAAAAGTCAAACACTTAATTCAACTAGCCCTACTTGTTACAAAAGTCAAACACTTAATTCAACTAGCCCTACTTGTTACAAAAGTCAAACACTTAATTCAACTAGCCCTACTTGTTACAAAAGTCAAACACTTAATTCAACTAGCCCTACTTGTTACAAAAGTCAAACACTTAATTCAACTAGCCCTACTTGTTACAAAAGTCAAACACTTAATTCAACTAGCCCTACTTGTTACAAAAGTCAAACACTTAATTCAACTAGCCCTACTTGTTACAAAAGTCAAACACTTAATTCAACTAGCCCTACTTGTTACAAAAGTCAAACACTTAATTCAACTAGCCCTACTTGTTACAAAAGTCAAACACTTAATTCAACTAGCCCTACTTGTGACTCTTAATATGAAATATTTGTAAATTGTACATACACACTTTTCACAAGACAGTATTTTAGTATTTTAGATAAATAAAAGGCTAAGTTTGTTTTTAACACAAACAGGAATTGAAAACTCATTTTGCGAGCTTTCGAAAATGTCTGTTTCCTTTGTAAAGCAAAGAGTGTAAATGGCTGGTGTCTAGACTCTAAACCGCTGAAAACAACTATCTAAGGTGTTAGCGTGCAATAGGGCGAAATGTCTCTACAATTTTTGACAGCTGGCTTTACTTGATTCAGCCTACTTACGTACTGTGGCTTAGCGAGTTGTTTTCAGGGGTCATTTACATCCTTAGCTTACAAAGGAAACAGACGTTTTCGAAAGCTCACAAAAGAAGTTTTAAATTACTTTTTGTGTTCAAATCAAACTTAGCCTTTTTTATACATACCAAACTGATGAATCACAGTAATTTAGATGTTGGATAATTAAACCATAGATTGGTGCAGTTTTCATTTTTCAATGTTAAACTCGATATCCCCTACAGTTAGATTAATTTATGGACATAGTAAACAAATTTCCATCTTTGTAAAAGGACTTTCAATTTGCAACAGCTGTATGGAAATGTAATAAGTAAGATAGGACCTCAGGTACAGTGTACCTAACTGTACCTATATTTCTATACATCAGATACATAAAGTAAGCTACAAAAGTGGAAACAAATTAAAATCCTACCAGGCTGTGTAATGAAAGCTTCCATTGGTGCAAGGAGTTTCGTATTTTGGGCACACCGAGTACTTCCCAGACTCGGTTTGTCGAGATATTCCACGATAACCATTTCGACTCGACGATATTCCACAGTTACTGTTGCCACTACTAGTAATATAAGTGTTTTTGTTTTTGCACTGATGGGTACTGTTTAAAATAGAGTCTGGTTCACTTTTTGAGACGGGTAAAGTTTGTCCAGAACAAGCACAGTTCTCTTGTTTCACTGCAGAATTTTCTGCACCTTGAACTTCAGAACTGATTTTCCTGTTAAGGTCTAATCCTTTACCTTTTGTTTGCAATGTATCGACATGTACATCCTTCCGTTCCCTTAAATGATCATGATCACATATAAGCTCTGATTGAACTGTTAATTCACCAACATTGTTATTTTGCTCTAGTTTTCCACAAAGTACTGTTCGTTCACCATCGGATATCCTCCGATTGTGTACATGAGAGATATCTAAGTCACACAATGATATATTTGGTGAAGGGACATTTCTGTTACACCTACAGATCTCAGTTTGACCTATATCCATACGATGCCCACAAGCCTGAGGAATGTTTCTGATGTTCATCCTCCACTCCACAACAACTCCATTGGATTTCTCATGAGAAATTTTCCGGATTTCTGACTTTTGAGTTTTTGGGCAATTACATTGATACAATATTTTACTACAGTGTAAACATGAATTGTTTTTGTTTTGTGTGCATATGTGAACCATGGAATGTTTACATGCACAATCTGTAAGATTTAAATTTCCTTTGTTTCCTGATTCGTGGGGCGACTTTTGACACTCATCATCTACGTATACAGGAGGTAGTAATTTAATGGAGTCATTCTCCAGAATCAAACTTTCACCTAAAACTTCAGAATCACACACTAAAGCCTTTACATTGGTTGGAAGGTCAAGATTGTTTGTAGGTGGTATCCATGGTAACATCCCTGGGGTAACAAAACATTGATGTGACTGACAAAGCCGGTAAGTCGTGTGATCGGATTCGTTGCGCTGAGTTACCAGGATGTCAGGAAAGTTTACATCCTGGTCAGTTTGCTGCTGTGAGGCGTCAAATGACGGAGTAAAATCCTCCGACATTCCTTGAGTTTTCTTTATCAACTCTTTCCTGTAAAGTGTCTGCAGTCCTGTATTCTGAGAACTTTGCTGGGAAAATTCTCCACAATCTCCGATCCTCATTTTCTCAAATAGTTTTAAAATCCTTAAAGACCGTTTAAGGCTTTTCACTGATTGCAGCACTGATACAATGTGTTATCATGTTGAACCATAGCACATGCATATATTTACTGTGACAGTATTAACATCCATCACAACACCGTGTCACAGTTTTACCTACTAGGTCACTCAGGTCTTAATCATCCTTAAAATATCCCAGGCCCTATATAATTAAAAAAATCACAATGAGAGTTTGTAAACATGAAATTCATCAACCAAACGTCACCTCAATAATAGCTCAGCTACACTAATTACCTAGACTTTGCCATCATAAGACCCGTTATTAAACAGTTATGAATATATACATGTACATCCAATCATGATTGACAGTAAAGCATGCACTACATCGGTTGGTAACGCCGTCTCAAACTGTATAAGGATCCATATACTTCAGGACTGAATAGGAATTTAAAATTTCCTCTGGCAGTACATACAATTAGCATGTTGTATCTCTTACTGTAATACCACAGAATGTACCTGGTTCCTATAACAATGTTAGCCGAATAGGTTCTTTGATCCTTCAGACATATACATACAGGAAATAAAACAGAAAATACAAATACCTAGAACAGTACAAAAGCCTCCACTTGAGTGTTCTATATAGTACGGTATATATACATCAAAACTTGACTTCCTCATTTAGGAGCATTCCATACTGCAATACATCTATACAAAGACTGACAGCTAAATATAGCGGTTTATCACACACTAAACAGAAAACTACCTAAGTATGGCCAGTATTTAGGTAAATATGGCCACTGCTAGCAGCACATGATCAATTCTCCTTTCTTAACTCACCTGCTTACAGGTAGGTAATTTTGAGAGTGGATACATTAACTACCAGCTGTGACAGGTAACACTTGTAAACAACTTCGATAATCAACTTCATCAAATGTTCAGCTGGGCATCACTTCATCATGGCACCGTCTTCAATTTTTTTTTCTTCTAATACCCAGTGGGCTGTCAGGTTGAATATATATGACGAAACTGGGCATTCAGCCGTTGTTGCATGGTACACTGATTAAGCTTATATTAGCTATCGGCAGTCTCCCTAACTGGTATTACTAACACAAATAAACACTGTGCAAAGTATGATACCTACCCTAGCTACCCGGTATGTATATATACCCTCTTATATAAATGATCATATCAATATGAACTTTGAGTGTAACATATTGAAATCTTTATAGCCTATGCTTAGAAAATAATAATTTACCTCTCTTAAATCCAGGACAGTGTTTACTATTAGAAACCTTATAGGCTGTTTTCTTAAAAACAAATAAATGTCTATGGGAATATTTTTTCCTCAACTACCTGTTTATTATGAGCTTTTTCAAAGCCTTATATATGTTTTTTGAAGCATGAATTACTCTAAGTAGGCATTAAATAGTGTCTTTCACAATTGCCTTACCAACTAATATAAGATATCTCTTAATTCACATTTGCATAGCCAACTTATATCTCCCAATTTATAGTACCTGACCAACTGAGATATCTGCATAGCCAACTTAGGTATCTCTTAACTCACAATTGCCTAGCTAACTTAGATATCTCTTAATTAACAGTTGCTTAGCCAACTTATATATATCTTAGTTCACAATCGCCTAACCAACTTAGATATTTCTTAAGTCACAATAGCCTGGCCAACTTATATATATCTTAATTGACAATTGCCTCGCTAACTCAGATATCTCTTAATTCACAATTGCTTAGCTAACTTTGATATTTCTTAATTCACAGTTGCTTAGCCAACTTATATATATCTTAATTCCCAATTGCCTCGCTAACTTAAGATATCTCTTAATTCACAATTGCCTAGCTAACTTAGATATTTCCTAATTCTCAGTTGCCTAACTAACTTAGATATCTCTTAATTCACAATTGCCAAGCTAACTTAGATGTTTCTTAATTCACAGTTGCCTAGCTAACTTAGATATTTCTTAATTCACAGTTGTCTAGCTAACTTAGATATCTCTTAATTCACAATATCCTAGCTAACTTAGATATTTCTTAATTCAGTCGCCTAGCTAACTTGGATATTTCTTAATTCACAATTGCCTAGCTAACTTATATATATCTTAATTTACAATTGCCTCGCTAACTTAGTTATCTCTTAATTCACAGTTGCTTAGCCAACTTATATATATCTTAATTCACAATTGCATAGCCAACTTATATATTTCTTAAGTCACAATAGCCTGGCCAACTTATATATATCTTAGTTCATAATTGCATAGCCAACTTAGGTATCTATTAATTCACAATTGCCTAGCTAACTTATATATCTCTTAATTTACAGTTGCTTAGCCAACTGATATATATCTTAATTCACAAGTGCATATAGCCAACTTATATATTTCTAAAGTCACAATAGCATAGCCAACTTATATATCTCTTAGTTCACAATCACCTAACCAACTTATATATGTCTTAAGTCACAATAGCCTGGCCAACTTATATATCTCTTAGTTCACAATCACCTAACCAATTTATATATGTCTTAAGTCACAATAGCCTGGCCAACTCATATATCTCTTAGTTCACAATCACCTAACCAACTTATATATGTCTTAAGTCACAATAGCCTGGCCAACTTAGATATCTCAGTCTCTATGTCAGTGGACATATTTTATGTTTGACAAATATATCTGATGTATAATCCACCAAATCAGAATTACCTAGCCAGCATGATATTTTCAAATGCACAAAAACATCTAACTAGAATAGATATCTTTAAATTCACAAATTTAGCCTGTATGAAGAAATCCTCTAAATCACAATTTTCAAGCCCTGTGGAGATATAATTTATAAATATTTATCCAGTAAAGATATTGGAAGTGCAAGCTCCGACCCTGAACAAGCTCCGACCCTGAACACGCTCCGACCCTGAACAAAACAACTTTAATTTGTTTTCTCCTTCACGAAACCTTTTTTTTACGATGTCAGTCAATTTAAACTCTACTGGAAATCCTTCATGTCGACCTCGTGCTTACTACGGTTAATTTACCTTTCTATAAAATGTTGTGGGTTTTAGCACAAAATTCTTTTAACCACATGCTTTTCTTGTCCCCAATTTCTCTGTATTCTGCATAGTAATCCTTTGACGTGTTCACTTGATGGTTGTACATTTATGCCTGCATGTCAACGATGTAATGGAATAATGCCATCATGTGCTTTTTTAATTACAATCCCAATAAAGCACCTGCAGACCACATGGAATTAGCATTTATCCCTATATATACGCGATTCTAAACTGTTAGACAGCATTGATGGAACCAATATTATTGACAATATAGGCCTGAACTTTTTATGCATCACATGATAATGAATATCTATGTAGAGTATTGCTGGAGTGACACATTTTTCACTGTTCATCCATCTTCACCTGCCTTTTTACTGACCCACACTCTTACCTACTCATCTGTAAATGTTTACATTAAGGCTTCACCTGGTGGTGGTGTTTTACCATCATGACCCCTATTTGGGATTATGTTAAGGGTATTTACACCACTGTCTGGGGCAGGAACAGCTGTCTATATCTGTATTACATGTAAGAGTATTGACAACACTGTCTGGGACAGGACCAAATCTCTGTATTACATGTAAGAGTATTGACACCACTGTCTGGGGCAGGAACAACTGTCTATATCTGTATTACATATCAGAGTATTGACACCACTGTCTGGGGCAGGAAGAGCTGTCTATATATCTCTATTACATATAAGAGTATTGACACCACTGTCTGGGGCGCTGTCTATATCTGTATTACATATAAGAGTATTGACACCACTGTCTGGGGCAGGAACAGCTGTCTATATCTGTATTACATGTAAGAGTATTGACACTACTGTCCGGGGCGCTGTCTTTATCTGTATTACATGCAAGAGTATTGACACCACTGTCTGGGGCAGGAACAACTGTCTATATCTGTATTACAAACTTATAACTTATAAAGTCAAATACCTGCAATGGAGTTATTTCAGTCGGGGGCTAAGATTCTGTAACATATTTTCCCAACCGAGGTGTCAGCCAAGGTTCGGATGTTATAGAAACTTAGCATGTGATTGAGGTAACCAGATCTTACTCAGTTACAGGTAAATTAATTTTCATGCACCTTCTAGTTTGAAAGATTATAAAATTTTACTATAGTCTACAAGTATCATGTCTGGGACAGACAGGATGAGATAGCAAAATTGAGCACAGGGTATTACCTGGGATATTCCTGTCTGAGGTACAAGAAACGACTGTCTGGGACATGATCAACTCTCTATATCTGCATTGCAAGTTTAAGTATTGACACCAAAATCATATGTACTTTGTCACCTTCTTAAGACAAATGACCAGTGAAGCATATGCACACAAAGGTGTTAAATGTGTATGAGTTGTCCACAAATCGATGTCGATTCAGATACACTGTAAGCGAATGTACAACAGTTTATAATGCGATTTAAACGTCACATTGAAACACTAATCGGTTGTTTAACGAGAAACACTTCATAAGCCCAGATTACAGTAATATATCACGGAAAACACTTTTCATGCAAGCCTTAGAAACTGATTTTTTTTTATTCAAAATTGAAAAAAAAAAAAAAAAATGCAAAAATTTGATCCCTTGAGCTAATTTCATGCATATTCAGCACTTTACTGCTTATAATGTACAACAGAGAAGGGATATCCTTCATACTTTATTCAATAATATTTGACTACGATAGGAAAACAGGTCAACAGAGTTGTTTAAATTGTACTTGACATATTGGTAATTTTAAAATACAGAGTGTCAACACACTTTTACTAATCCTGTGAAATTCAAAACATACTTATCTGCCCGACACGATCTGCGTTAGATACCTTAATTTCGTATCTAGCTATTTATAGTTTAATATCAAATTAATGATACCTCCACGATCACGCTTTAAGAAACATTTATAATTTCATTTACTTAATCCTGTTTTTAACAGCAAGCCTCTTTAGACATATACATTTTAAATCCTTACAAATATTTCAATTTCATTATGCTCTTGAAGCTGAAAATCATTCTATAATAATATATGTTTATACTGAAACTTGGTTGCTATACAGATATAATTTGTTATGAGGTTAATGGAAAGGAGACAATTCTGGACAAAAAGAACAAATATAACCAAGTTATAAGTAAGAGTTTCCAATAAGCACATTAAATACTGACTCTTTTTTACAGCCTACATTTAGTAGTATAAATATACAAAGCCAGATATGTAAACATTATGTACATTTTATAGCACAAGCCATGCCAATGTAAAAACTTTGTATTTATCTTAGAGATGTATTAACAGGGAAAATGAAACAGTACAACATCATAACCAAGTTTTTATGAACATTTCTTTTTCAAGTTGTACCACAAACACCTTTCCCCTGATGAACATTGGAGATTTGCATGTGAAGGTTTGCGTCGATATTGACAAAATAAAACCCTTTCTCTTTGTTTGTAAAGTACAGCATGCCAAAATGACATCAACGATTTATACATCCCCTGATGATCGTGATCTGAAATGAACACCAAAACACATCATTAATTTAAACACTTCTGTGGAAATAACGTTTGCAAAATGTTTTAATCAACAATTGTCTTTGAACTTAAAGAAGCCAAAATCACTCTAAAGAGAGAGATCAACATGACATCCATGGAAAGGACAGGTAAAGGTCACTCCAAAGAGAGAGAGAGAGAGAGAGATCAACATGACCTCCATAGAAAGGACAGGTAAAGGTCACTCCACAAAGAGAGAGAGAGATCAACATGACCTCCATAGAAAGGACAGGTACTCCAAAGAGAGAGAGATCAACATGACCTCCATAGAAAGGACAGGTAAAGGTCACTCCACCAAGAGAGATAGATCAACATGACCTCCATAGAAAGGACAGGTACTCCAAAGAGAGAGATAGATCAACATGACCTCCATAGAAAGAACAGGTAAAGGTCACTCCAAAGAGAGAAAGAGATCAACATGACCTTCATAGAAAGGACAGGTACTCAAAAGAGAGAGAGAGAGATCAACATGAC